CCCCGCGGGCTGCGGAGCCGCCGGGCTCGTGTTTCGTTTTTTTCTTCTTTTTTTCCGACCAGGCTTTATGGGAATATCGATAGAATTAAAAGTTACTTGTAATTCCGTGATAAATGAGATGTCTCCCGTAAGTAAGATTAAGTGCGGGGCTATAAAGTTGTTTATCTGAAAAGTAATTCTCAGGAACCTGACTTCTGACACTTGGTCATATATTAAACCGGCATCTTGAACGTTGTACTTCAAATCCTTCCCCGCTCCCCTCGCCCCGTCTCTTCCTCCTTGCAGTTTGCTATTTATAACTGCGTGCAGGGTATGGATTTGTAGGTGCAGGCGAGTCTCTGGGTAATTTTTCACTGGCTGTGAAAATCATCATTTGCAATAGTGAAAGAATCTCTGCTTAGGAAATAGCACTTGGCTAGTGGATTTGCGAGTGGATAACATCTCCTGGCGATGCCATTACCAGCGCGCGCGCCAGCACTAACATCTGCAAGTCATACAGCAAGTGCTGCGCCTGACAGCGAGAAGGTAGGGCACGCTGCAAAGTTAGGAAGGTAACTGCAGCCAGGCAGCCGCACAGATACGGTCCTGCAAGGCTCGTAACGCTACCAGCATCGCTCCAGCACTACGGCTTAGTTCTGCACGGCCCCAGCATGCACAAACACACAGAGTCCTGCACATCTGCTGGGTTTACTAACAGCCAGCGAATCCCGACAAAGTTAAGGCAACGGAGCCGCTCTGGCTTGCTTTCCTATTCCTTCCCAGCGCTGGAACCAACAAAACGTACAGGCTCACGGCATAAATCCCCAGGGAACAGAGCAATTCTCTCTGTTTTTTTTTTTTCTCTTGAGCAAGATGAAGGTGACGCTGCATATCCCGTAACATTCTCACCTACGTGAGACAAAACGCCTGCTAATATTTTCAAATGAAAAGGGTACTGCTTTCCAGAATGTGTAGTATTTCACTTGCCTGTTTGATAGATGTCTCTGCAAATGCATCTTCAGCCCCATAAAATAGTTTGTTTGGACATGAGCGCTCAAAGTGCTACACTTGCAAACTAGTAAATTTACTGAGTAAACTCTGAACTATAGACAAAGAGTATGAAATTGTGTGAGCTAATGGGTGCCGGCTCTTAATTGATACCAATGTAAGCAAGTGCTGCAATTAAATTGCAGCTCTGACCTACCGGAACGGCAAGCAAAATTATTAGCTGTACAATATTGTTCTTGGGTGATTATTACACAGAACTGCCACACCAAAATGTCTCTAGTGTTCAGCAAACCAGAGAGAAAAAGATTATTAGCAATTTTTGGATAACCTTCAGAAGCAACACTCTCCTCCCTACGCTATATAATTCTCATTTTAGTAGTATTTTTCTTTATTATTTGGCTATTCACAATGGGTGTCTAAACATTTACAGTCCTCTATTAACAGCGTTTCTCCCTAACAATCGCACACTTTCATTTCAATTAGAGCCATTCAGGCTCCCGCTCTCGCGCAAGGATGGCAGGCCGAGGCGCAGCGCTCCCCTCGGCGCTGCAGTGCGGCCCTGCGGCAGGCGGGGCGGCGCCGCAGCAGCGCGCGGGGCTGCGCGCGGGAGGGCTGCAGCAGGTGAGCAGCAGGTCGCGTTGGCTGCGCTCGCCGCGCGACTCGCTGCGACTTGACACGAGAAGTAGGTGCTGCTCCTTGCGCCTGCCTCGTGGCGCGTTGGATGGTGCAGAAACAAGCGGGGTCCGGTGGATTTTTACCATGAAACCCACCAAATTGATGGCAGGAGGACCTCTTCAGAGCAGCTGAACGATAAGGCATAAACTGCTCTTAGGTGCAGTGCTAGATAAATCCTTTTAACAGTCTTCAGATCAGTTAACAGGGTAAGTAAATCATGTATCACCGTTAGCAGATTTATGGGAGAGAATTAATAGAATCAGACGAGATAATCTTGTAGGAATAAAATTGCTGAGGAAACAGTCCTGCCTTATATTTGAGGATATGAAACAACAGTCTGATTACTAGGAGTCATTATGGATTGGTGAATTAGGAGCTAAATCATCATAATAGTAATTCAGTATTAATTCTTTTCTCTTTAAACAACTCACAGACGCAAATAAAAGCCTCTCTCTCTTTGAAGACACATTCTTTATATATTTTTATTGGATGTAATTTACTATTTGCATTACCTGTATTTACTTCATAATTGAACATTTTGCATTCAAATTTATGTAATACATTATGCTTGAGAATATATTTCTCCCTTATTAGCATAAATAGTCACTTACCTCATGAATTACTAACAAAGTTTATCTGCAAATACAGGTATATTTTTTTATTAAGTGGAACACAAACATATGTACAGTAAATTCTGATTTGCCAGTGGTGTTAGAGAAACACATAACCATCCTGTATCAGAGTGAGAAGGAGAAGCCAAGAAGTAAACCCAATTAATATATATTATATATATATATATATATATATAATGAAAAACAGTGATTTCTTCTGTCAACAGTTTGTTTATTTTTAATAAAGAATCAGTGACTAAAAGGTTTCCTTTAGAAGCAGCAGAAGAAAAAGGATATCTGGAATAAACTAGTCTCTCTGTGCTCTCCCAATAGTTTTCTGATGGACTTGGATAACTGAGGCTTTGGTCCTGCAGGCTTCACCTCAGCTGACTTCCATTCAGGGAGCGTTGCTCTACACTCACTTTTAACAACATTTTTCTCTCTTAATCCTGTTTTTATGTTCGGCTTCAAATCCAGATAATCAATATAATTTAGGCCCATCCTGCAGCACTAATTCAACTTTGCTTGTGCCAAAAAAAAAAAAAAAAGGCAAAAGGCGCTATTGACTTCAAGAACTGCAGGATTGAATCCTCGATCCCACTGAAACCAATGACAAAACCTATATTGATTTCAGGAGAAGCAGGATTGGGTCCTTGATGTTAGCAATTTGTTTATGTCAAAAGGTTGGCGCTGCAAAAAATAGAAGACGTCAGCAGCTCTGCTGGCAGGAAATAAGGTCTGCTCCCCCAAAGTCAAAAGCAAAATTCCCAGTTAGCTGTGATGGATCTCCTTTACGCTCGGGTTTTATCAGCCTGATACGTACTGCGTGCTAACTTGCATGTATGTTTTGTCTGGATGCGTAAAGCAGGTCCTCCTGGGAGCACTCAAATGTGCATATCTATAAACGCAGCACAGCAAAATGAGCTGCTTCTGCCACTCTGGGTTTCTCCTGAGCCTGGTACAATCCATTTCTATGGCTCGAGTGTTCTGCCCCATCCGCATCTGATACTGCTCTTTTATTTTAAGGCTGAGAAAATCTTCCTTTTAAACTCACGCTGAGCATCAAATTGGACTCCACTTGCAACTGAGCATCTTGGCTGTCTTTTCCTTCCCTCTATCAGCTTCCGTATATTTTATGTTGGATTCTCAGCTAATGAAACTTGCTTCTCTCTTCTCTTTCCAGTTTTTGCATTACTGAAACCACCAGGCTTGCCACCTTTGAACATCTCTTAAGACTGACAAAAGGGGAGAAAAAATTGTTTTCTTTTCTTATACAGTGGCCTATTTGGCCAGCCTGCACAGAGCATAAATGCACTATTCATTTTTATTTAAAGTTTCCATAGCTAAATTAGAAAAAGGAGTTTGAAAAGGCACGCTTAAGCGAACATCTTAATTGTTTTGTGTAATATTCCTCCGTTTTCCCCTTAGCATCCGTGAGGGCTTGCTTTTCACCTTCAGGGATTGTGAGGTATTAACAGCCGCTTTGACTTCATTCCCTTTGAAATACCTAAGAGCCACTACAAGGGAAGATACAGCATCCGCGCTACACCTCAGAGCGTGCATTTATTCCGAGTACCCTGAGTCAGAATGAAGTGGCTGCCT